ATGTCTTATATGTACTTTTTCTCCCATTTTCTTCCCTTTGCTGCATTCTGGATATTTTCTTCTGACCTACCCTTTAATTCATTGGTTCTTTTTTCATCTGTGTCTGTTAAACACATTCAATTTCCTTTATGTACTGAGGGTTTGAAATGATTCTAGCATTTCTTTTTATTCATTTTTTGGTAGAGATGGGGTCTCACCATGTTGCCCAGGCTGTTCTCAAACTCCTGGGCTCAAGTGATCCTCCCACCTCAGCCTCCCAAAGTTCTGGGATTACAGTCATGAGCCACCATGCCTGCAGCCTAATTCTAAATAAGATTCAGACTGTGAGGGCTGATTCACACTTACTCTGATGGTATAGCCCTTTAGGGCTTGACAACCCAAAACAGGCAGTAAGACAAATAGTTATTAATACTTTCTTGTGAGACTTTAGTTAGTGCTTGAGAAATCTACACTTTACATAAGATAAAGTGAATGTTTGAAGAGAAAAGGGGAGTAAAGGAAAAATAAATTATGCAGACCTCTCTGGGTAGGCGGAAGAATGACTGGTCTTGTCTCTGTTCTGTACCTGGGAAGATACATTTGTAATCAACATTATCAGTGTGAAATCAGACAGACTTTAGTTTTAGGAGCTGGACTTAGCCTGCAGACCTAAAATTACAATATGCATGCCCTTGTTTATGGGAGGCCAGCAAATAATTTCCTTATGAATGATCTGTGGGGGCTGTCCTTCATAGATGCCGGAAGCTTTTTACAGTTCTGTGGGGATCTGGCTAATGCACAATGTTAGTAACAGCTATTCATTTGGAAAGGGGTGTTGCATGACTCAGCTCCAGTGTTGACCTTCCATTTGTATAAGGACTTGGTGGCGGGGCAAGGGGACTGAGGTTTTATTCTCCTTTACAGGCCCCAACCAAAAGCCACGGTTGGGGTGGTGTCCTTCGAGATCCTTCTCTTTGGTGGGCCCCCTATTCCAGCTTTTGTCCCCTAGCCCCATGGTCTGTTGAAAGCTCTGCCCAGAAATTATCTCCATGCTAAATGATAATGAAGTACAGTTATCTTTTTTCCTTTTATAATGATATGGTCTAGCCTCTCCGATGATGGTATATGTTGAATAAATGTTTAATTGGTAAAAAAAAATTATTTTACATTTTCCCTGTACATAGAATAGGGAAGGAAATTTTAGTCCAGTATTTTTAATAGTAAGAACTTTTAGTTATTGAAGTAATGAAAGGGACTGCCTCCTAAGCATTAAGTACATCTACACAATGCTCAGGCAGAACATTCAAGTTTAAATGTTCAAGGTTTAAAATCATTTGTCAAGAGACTGTGGAGATGATTACAGGTTTGGCATTAATTTGAGTTAGATAACCTCCACATTTTTTCCATCTCTTAGTTTCTGTGATTCTAGTTTTTGTTTCAATTGGGATCTTCTCTTTCCTTTAGTACTTTGCTTTCTGGTTTCTGACAGTGTAGCTGATATGAATTATGGAGTCTAGGCCCTCTAACGCTTCTTCATAAAAATAGGGCAGTCAAAAGTACTGACAGTTAAGAATACGAAGCATTAAAATGAGCTCACTTTGCAGTCTGAAACAGTAAACACATCTTTGCTTATACGAAGACAGTCATAGGTTCTTTTTAACAGAACAATCATTCAAGTAAGAGCTTGAAAAATGGATATAAGGAGATTGAATTGCCTATATAATGACAGAAAAAAAGACTGATTTAGTTGATTCCATAGGAGAAACAATATCAGCAATTTGTAAGTTTACTGCCATGTAGACAAAAGTGATACCTCAGTTCTTGTTCTCATTTACTTATTTATTCATTCAATCAGTACATATTTTTTGAGACTATGAGCAAAGAAAAGATGTGCCAAGGTTCTTATGACAGCCATTTTGTTTGGTGATACTTCTCAACATCTCGCAAGTGGATTTCATGAAAACTTTTTAGAGTTTTCACATCTTTTGAAATAGGATGATGTCTGCTTCTATTTTAAAGTTTAGAAAAAGACAATTTATTATTTTTCCTTTCAGAGTGGAGCAGTGTTGGAGAGCTAAGGCCAGACGAGTGGATGTATGTGGAGGTTACTAGGGATCTGAGGAGCGTGCTGATGACTGCAGTTGGGCACTGAGTGGATTTTCCCTGGCTGCCATGGTGGTCTCGGATATTTTACATTTATCTTTTTATTTCAAGTCATGTTATTTAATTTGTACCAAGGAAATATAGCAAGTTAATCACAGTTGTAAAATTCAATAACTTTTCAGATTCACTTCAAGGTCATCTTTATCGGACCTGAAGCTGCATTTATTGATCAAAAATCTTATATATTCTACCCAATTTTTCTGTAAATCTAAAACTACTTGAAAAAAAAATCTATTAATTTAAAAAACAAAATGCAACTTTATTCAAAGTATAAAAAAATCAAATTCTCAGCTGTCTTTAGTATTTCAAAAGCCGATACCTGTAGTAAAAGACAAAGTATAGTGATGATTGTAATCACACGTGGATATAAGGCTATCCATGACCTCATTGTGTCATAGAGAGAGAAGCACTTACATTACAGTCTGCAACAAACACAAAATGTATTAAAGTAAAACATTTAATGTAAGTGTAAAATGCAAAAATTTCAAAATGCAAGAAGTTTTTATCTGCATTCAATACTGAGCTAGTAGTTCAGTTTTTTCCTATATTTTAATATACATTATCACCAAGCTAAGCACAATATGTCATTTTGTTTGTCAAAAATTGTCTTCTTTGTTATATAATTTATTTAAAGTAAATTTTAAAATTTATCCTTTATTATGTTAGGTGAAGCTGAATATTACTGAAGATTATATTGATTGTAAAATTTATAATGTAATATTTGATAAAATAAAAGTTTTATCTTCAATATCTTTATCATCAGTCACTTAAAATTACAGGTGATTTTCAAAATTTTTAAGATTCCTCAAAAGCAATTTGCATGGTTTTTTTTAAATTGGGAAATACTAAACTACTTAGTTAGGGGTTTCCCCTTACTTTACAGTTGGGAAGACTGCAGCTCAAAGGGATTGAACAATTTGCCCAAAGATGGCAGATTCTAGATTCAAATTCAGGACGATCTGATTGTAAAATGCATGCTATTGGTCACTTTTCCTAGTGTGTGCCTCTGCTAACACAGCGACAGTGAGAACTGGGCGAAGGGAAGTCTGACTGGTGTTTCAAAGACAAAATCAATAGGCAACAGTGATAGCCTGGATAGATTGCAGTTTTAAAGAGTTAGGGTTAGAATTGATACTAAGGCTTCTAGCTGAGACACTTAGGAAAGGAATGTGCTAACATAAAAATAAATAAGCAAATAAATAAGATGGGAACTTCATTTAGGTAGAAAGGTGCTGAGATTAATTTTTAACTCACTGAGTCACAGCTAACATGAAGACATACAAATAGAGCTATCACATAAACGTGAAAATACAGGAGTGAGGTGCTGTTGAAAGTGCTGGCAATGTAGATTGGGAATCCATCAGCACAAGGTAGTCATTGAAACTAAAACAGTGTAAGGGCACTGAGAGAATGAGAAGCTAAGGAGGGGAAAAAAAATAGGATCTAAGCCTTGGGAAATATCTCGTGTTGGGGGTTTTGAGGAGGGAAAAAATGTGAGCAAAGGAAAAAAAATCAATAAATTAAAGGAGAACCAGGACCACACAAAATCATGAAAACCAAGAGATAATAAATATGTCTAAAATACATTGAGCACCTACCATGGAACAAGTTCATGCTGTGTATTTTATCTTATTTAATCTTCATAATAACTCAGGGAGGCAGGTTTGTGTATCTCTATTGACAGATGAAGACACAGAGAGGTTTAGCAAGGTTAAGCCATATGTCCAGCACTCAGCTGGTAAGTCCTGGGGAAAACACCAGAATCTATGTCTCCCAGCCTCCAAAGTCCATTTTCTAACTAATGGTCTCCAGAGTATACAAAGCAATCACTGTAGTTTGGGAAAAAAATGTTAAAATTATGATTACTGTATCTCATCCTTTTGAAATTTTATTTTTACAGTGCATTCTATACTAGTATAGCAATACATGCATAATTTATAAATTAAGTATATGTTTATTGGGGTGTATGCTCAAAAAAATTTACTAATGTGAAGATGCAATAAAAAATTTTGGAGATCGTTGCTTCAAACCACTAAGCAAAACTACCTTTTTGCCTTGTCCCATACTCATCAATAAATGCATTCGCTTAATATGGTCATGTTTTTAAAATATAATACTAGGTCTAATTTAATTAAATAAAAACTTTTCATTTCATAGGTTCTTTTCATGTCATTCTTTGGCATTTTCAGAAATTCATGAAGGCCTTTGAGCATTTGGTGCATTGCGATAGTGGAAGGAACAGAGAGGCCTTAGATCAGACAGACCTGGGTTCAAATACCAACTTTTACCTTATTGACCATGTGATCTCAGACAAGTACTTAATTTCTCAGAGCCTCAGTTTGTTCATCTATAAAGTGGAGCTAATATTTACTTGCAGATTATTGTAAAGTTTAGTAATATCATAAGGAAATAATTTAGCATTGGGCCTGGCATACAGTAGATAGTTTTTAAATGGCAGCAAATAATCATACCAGTAGTACTTGTTTGTTGTAGAAAACATCTGTGGCTCAACGGTCATCTCCCCTCTAAAATCAGGTCACATAATACTTTTGGCAAAGTTTGGCCTAGATTGTTTTTAATTCAACCTGGAAACTTATTTAAGCATAGACAAAAAGTGTTTTCCTGAAATTTGTGGGGCTACTGCATACAGGTGGGTTGGGGAATGCCGTTTGCTTGGACTGCGACAGGAATGGCTACTCTTGGCCTTGTATAGAGTGGCAGCCCTGGAAATATTCTGGCAAATGTGTAGAGGGCCAAATGTACAGCAGCCTGCACCAAACAAAGGAGATGAAGGCCACTGTCCACACTTGCATTGGTTGGTATGTTGACTGTCTCTCCGCTGTCGATGCCGTCCACAGATCTGTACTCCTGACTTGGTGGTGTTCCTGGCTTGCGCTAATCAGAGGCTCAAAGAAAGATTACTGAAGCGCGCGGAACAGCAGGGGAGGCCAGACGACAATCTGAAAGCCACCCAAAGGAGACTAATGAACTTCAAGCAGAATGCTGCTCCGTTGGTTAAATACTTCCAGGAAAAGGGGCTGATCATGACAGTAAGTTAGCTCTGCTTTTACACGTTTAGTACAAGAACGATCTTTCAAATTTTTCATTGGCCCAGGTTCTCACTTAGAAATCCTCTTTACCTTAAAAAGTGATTTTTGGGGGGGGATGTGAACCAATGGAAAAAACAATCTATCGTTTTGACCTGATTTGTGTCTATTAAGCTATAATGATAAAAAAATTCATTTTAGTTTAATTGCTTTTTACAAAAGATGATAAATTTTTACCTTGGCCAGAATTCTGTAGCACCCAAGTAAAAAAGTATTTTTAAGTAACTATTAATATTCAGGTAATTTTAAGCAATACTTGCCCAGTTTCTCACCTCTTCTGTCTTTAAAAAACTAACAAAATCAACAGATTTATAAACACACAGTTGGTGTGGTGTTATAGTAGATTTAAATTGTAACTTGGGCTTTGTTTATCATAATGTCCTACACAAAGAAATAAGATTCTAACTTTACAAAAAGTTTCCTAAGGGTGATAACATATCAAAATGGGAGGTGTTTAACTTTCTGCTCCATTTGATACTATGCAAATATTAATGTTTTCTTAAATGTTTAGTTTGTTTTGTGGTAACTGGTATTCAACGTGCCAATGAAGGGTGACACTGTATCAGTTAATACAGTTTTTAGAGTCCAGGACGTTGGAGGGTTCAGCTAAATTGATGATCCCTACAACGTCAGATTCAGTATTAAAGCATAGAGGAGACAAAGAGGATAATAGGCCATCTGAAGAAAGCACTTTATGCAAGAGGGGCACTAAAATCACAGCAGCTCCTTGGCAGCTAGATGGCGGCAGACTTTGGCAGACCCCTCTTCTCAGCCCTTGGGCCCTTCCCACTGCGCCAGATTCTTGCCTGGTAGGGTTACAGGCCTCTGGAGAGAATCTGATGAAAGCAATGCATGCCCATCCCAATAAAATGCACATAAGGTGGGTTTTCACAAATTTTAGGGAAATCACCTGAAACCCATCCAGAGTTCCTATGACCTAACAATTCCTGAGTTAAAACTCCCTACATTAGACTAAGATGCCCTTAGGCCTGAAAGAAGCAGTCATGACATTTGGAGAATAATCACTTTGCAGTCTTTTTAGCACTATAAAGAAATATTTTGCTCTTTAAGTCAAAGTTATCATGTCAGAGAGTTGTAAATCTGATCTGAAAATTGTTCACAATGCCAGAGTTCATTTTTTTGGTCTAAAACAGACATTGAGTAATAAGAAAGATACAGGAAAATCAGGGTGTATGTTTTGTGGCTATTTTGGGGGGGGGGGTGGTGTTTTTCTCACCAGTTACCAAGCTGACTTTTGCATTGTGTCATGAAAAAAGAAATTTACCCTGTAATCCAAACCCCAAATGCAAGCTGCAGGACCAGAGTTTTAATTGATGTTTGCAAGGCTTAACGGTATTACCGGAGGTCTCTGATTACTCCCTGCTTGTCACGTTCGTCATCACAAGCAGAGCAGATTTCTCAAATGAATGCAGAGTGGGGATTGTTAATTTACTAATATTTTGCATGAAGGTGAAATGCCATTGCCTCTAATCGAGGGAGTCAATAACAGTGTGGATGACAGCCTGTAACCTCAACTGCTAACACCAAATGAGCTTTAAGATAAACGCCTCTAATTACTGGGAGAAAACTTGCCTTGTAAAGTAACCTTTTGGAAAGCAGTGAACACAAATACAGGCTGAGCTCTGGAGAATAAATTTTGAAAAAATAGTCTGCCAAAGAAGCAATGCGCATCCTGAAACGTGTCCTCCCTCAGAACCTAGATCATAGTTTACTTTTGGAATTAAAATATATTTGGTAGCATTTCTACTTTTAAAGATGAGTTAAATAATTATAATGATCATCCTTATTAATCACAAGCATGTTGAAATTTTAATAAAAGTCTAGGGGTTAATAAATCAAACCCAAATACTTCCTTTTCTCTGTAGATTTTCTTTCTTGTTCTTCTACTTGCCCTTCCTAGTTGATTCATTTACTCATTTAATGAGTATTTATTGAACACAAAGATACTCTCCTAGGTGCTAGGGGTGCAAAGCTGAATAAGCAAAGGATAAGGATCTTTACTTTATCACTGACAGATTTATTGCAGGCACCTAGGACAGTACTTGCCGGGTATGTAGTAAGCTCCCAGTAAATGAACAGAGCTTACAGCCTGTGTGGTGAAAGAGATATTAAACAATGAGTTATTGAGTTATCAGGTGATACCTGTTGAGTTATTAGGTGTGATGACTGTGATGAGTTAGTAAGTGTGAAAACATGCAGGGTGCCCTCACATGTCATGCGCTGTGTTACGGATTAGAATACCCTGTAGTGAATAGGACAGACTCTCCCCGCCCTTGAATAGGATTAATTGTTTATCTCTTTATAAGGTTCCTAAGGACCGCAGAGACCGTGTCCCTCTTCAGTCCAGTTGAGAAACTTAATCTTTATGCTCCTTTTCTCTAGGGCTTTGGTGTCTCAATCCTCTTACTCGGAATCTCAGCTCCACTGACATTTAGTAATCTCATGATGCCCTACAAAGAGCTAACCTCTAGGACTTGGTCTCTTTCTCTATAAAGTGGAGATGACATTACCTACCTCATAATGTTGCTGTACAGATGAAATGAGAGCATGTGTGTAACATGGCAGGCGATGGTAATACTGAGACCGTGGTTAAGATACACCAAGCAGCCTCATGGCCTGGTTCAGATTCCGGCTCCACCACCTACCACCTGTGGGACCTCCTGCAGGTTACTATGTGCTCTTTGACTCACATGCCTAGCTACAAGTAAGGGTATAATGGGCATAATCCTCAGTCTTACCTCAGCGTGATTGTGAGGATTAAATGGATGTCAAGAGCTTAGGACAGTGCCTGGAATGTTGTAAGGCTAATTTACATGATTGATATTTTTTCATAATTTTTGTATTTCTTCGTCTCTTTTCCTTCCCCCTCTAATGCTCATCTTACCAATAACAACAATTCTGTGCTCTTTGTGGGAATTCTGTTGCATTTTCTCCGCTAGATAAGTTATTGAAGAAATCCAAAATGCATAATTTAGGTTCTAAAATCTTTGTGCCAAATTTATCTTTTTCTTTAAAAGTGTCTGCTAATCAGTTATAAAATTGACACAGTGTTTTCTTTAACTTCTATTAATATATTGTCCAAGTAATCAAGCTACATAATGGCTGTGTGTGAATAATGTAGTTGAATTGTAATAGACGTCAATCCACTCTTTTTTCTTTTTCACTTCATCATCGACTGTGTAGCTGTTGGCAGATTTGAGTAAAGAACAAAACCAGTTTGACTAAAAAGAAAACCTAATCAAAATAGCCAGGGAAAACACACTGTTTGCTAATACTGTATCTTACTGACATGGCTGCCATTACATGGACCTTTTCATTTTTATTCTTTTATTATACGTGTCTATACATATTTAGACTATACGGTAAGCAAATGGTCATTTTTCTTTTGGACTTTTTGTAGAAGGAAGAGAGAGGAGTATAATTTGAAATGAGAAGCAAGCCACAGTCACAGGAAGAGGCCTACTAATTCATACCCAGGATTCACAACTGGATCTCTTCAGCCAGGAAAGGAATAGGCTGAGAAATGCTAAAATTAGGATTGTTTTTCATTCACCAATGCCAGTTTTCCTACAGAAGTGGGCGAAGAATGTGGGTAGGGCCACACTGGCACATAGCAAGGCCACATATACCAATTATTCCCTAATTTCTGTACTTAATAGACCAGAAAAAAATATTTTTTTAAATCAGGCTAAGATGAAGTTGGCTTTTTTAATTTTATAAAGTGAAGGCATTAGAAAAAAGAACTGTCTACTCTTGCCATTTG